TATCCCACCCATCCCTGCCCTCTGGCAGTGGGAGCCATTCCCTGTGTCCTGTCCCTCCATCCCTTGTCCCCAGTCTCTCTCCATCTTTCCTGCAGCTCCTTCAGGTCCTGCAAGGTCACACTGAGCTCACCCAAAGCTTCTCCTCTCCAGCTGAACAATCCCAGCTCTCCCAGCCTTTCCTCCCAGCAGAGCTGCTCCATCCTCTGCTCATCATGGAGCCTCCTCTGCATCTCTCCAGCAGCTCCAGGTCCTGCCTGTGCTGGGCCAGGGCTGGGGCAGCTCTGCAGGTGGGGTCTCACCTGAGCACAGGGGCAGAATCCCAATCCCTCCCCTGTGCCCACCCTGGGATCAGCCCAGGGCTGGGGATCCTGGGTTGGGCCATGTCCAGTGTCACCCACAGCAACCCCAGGGCCTTCTCCCAGAGCTGCTCCAGCTGCTCATCCCAGCCGGGATTGATCCTGGGGCCTGCTCCAACTTGAACTTGGCCTTGTTAAACCTCCTGAGATTCCCAAGGGCCAATTCTGGAGCTGTCCAGGTCCCTCTGGCTGGCCCTGTCCTGTAGGGGTGTCACTGCACTCCCAGCTTGGTGTCACCTGCTGAGGGTGCCCTTGGTCCCTTCATGTGTCATTGATGAAGATATTTAAATACCAGTGGCCCCAAAGTGACCCTGAGGACACCACTGGTCACTGATGTCCAGCAGGACTCTGAGCCATTGACCACGACTCTCTGGAGGCCACAGGGACTCTTGCTCTGCCCAGGACAGAGAGCAGAACTTCCAGAAGGTTCTCCCTAAACCCTCAAATGACACTAAACTCTCATTTCTGAGCTGAAAGTTGAATCCATGGACTCCCAATGGCAAAGCCTCTGCTTGGGCACGGAGCAATCTGGGCACTGATCCAGGGCTAATGGCCATGGAGCTGAACACTGCAGGCTGGAACGAGGCACTGGGAGCTCTGCAGCTCCTCTTCACACATGGGAAGCCATCCTTGCTTGGCTTGGGACTGGGAAAAGCATCTGTGGCCATTAGGAGTCTCAGCTGGATTTCCAAGGACACTGGGATGAAGGATTGAGGCCTCTCCCCTGGCACTGCCAACTTAAATGATCCTTTAAACATCAGAAAGACTTTGCACTACTTTAGGGACAGAAATAAACTCTTCCAGCTGAGAAATGTGGGAGGCTGAGCTCATTTTACTGCAAGGCCAAGATCTTGTGGGGTGGCTGGTCCTGAGTGTTGGGGCCAGGTAGTTCCTGGAATCATTGTTCTTATAAATCAAAAAAATTAATGATGGCTTTAAGTTTCCTGCAGACAGGAGCCACAGAATCCCCTGGAGCCAGGGGAGCTCTTGAGCTGTCTCAGGAATTCAGGGAAGTTGACATTGCTGGTTTGGGAATGTCACCTGTGCCTTTTGATGGCAACAAAACCAAACCAAATAAAATCCAGCAGAAATGAGGAGTTTCAGAGCCCAGCAACCTCCAGCCACCCAGGGAATCCTGCCAGGAGCAGGCAGGTCCTGTCACACCCCAGGGGATGAGTGTGCCAACACTGCCCATCTCATCCCAGGAAGGGCTCAGGTGGGCATTTATGGCAGGGAACAGGGTCAGTGCCATTTCCTGCTGGTTTGGGTCACTCCTGCAAACCGCAGCTGGGAATTTGGCCCAGGTGCTTTGGGTCCCACTTGGAGCTGAGCTTGGCTGTGCTCAGGGCAGTGGGAAAGGAACAAGCTGAGGGGCTCCTGCAGTGCCAAATATTCCTTTTGAAGCCATTTAGAGCTCACTATCTGGAGCAGCCACCCTGATCCTCTGGGCCAAGAGTTGTTCCTCCAACAGAAGGCACAGAACAGGGAGAGAGATGGGATAACCCTGGGAGCTTTCCACAGGAGGAATTCTTATTTTAGCCCCATCTGGTGGCTTGGAGGCATTAGGGGTAAGGGCTCTCCAAATGTCTTTCCTGACTGTTGTAATTCCAGATTTTATTGTTATGGGCAAGAACTCAGGCAGGAATTAATTTCTGATTGTGCTCTTGGAAATCCAAGCCTGGGGGAAATGATCCAGAGGAGAACACGGGGCTGGGCTGAGCTGCACAACTGCACCCAGCACCAATCCAGTGGCAGCAGGTGGAATTTTGAGAGGAAGAGCCACCACAAGGATCCTTCCAGCCTCCCAAGCTCCCACAAGGAGCTGAGTGGTTTCCTGCAGGGTTCCCCACCCTGGAGGAAGTGCCTGAAGCCTCATCCTTGGGAAACTGGCCCAGGAATGCAGCTCGGGGTGCAAGGCAGAGCCCAGGGATCCTTGGCAGTGCAGGAGCTCCTGAGGCTGAGCTGGGAGAGCTGTGGTGGGCATGGCCTTGGCACCCAGCTGCTCCCAGCCACCCTCCATAGCATGGCAGGGGGAGAAAACCACCTGGCAAAGCTCCTGGAGTGGGAGAGGGCACTCACCAGGCACCATCATGGGCAGGATACTGATTTGGGGAACAATAATTTGATTAATCACAATTACAAATGGGGTGGGTAGTAAGAGGCAAACCCAAATAACCTTGTTGGCCAGGCTCACCTTCACTCAGTCATTCCCAGCTCTGTCATTCCAGACAGTGCAGGGGGATGGGATGGGATGGGATGGGATGGGATGGGATGGGATGGGATGGGATGGGATGGGATGGGGTGGGATGGGGGCTGGTCCATCACACTTTGCCTGTGGATCCTTGCTCACACCCCTGTGCCACCCTGGGGTCCCTCTCACAGGATAAAGTCCTTCAGCGTGGACCCCCCATGGGCCACAGCTCCTGAAGGAGCTCCAGGGGGGAGCAGCTTCCCCTGGGACACCCCCCGTGCTCCAGAGGGGCTCTCCAGGGGCTGCCAGGGGTCTCCACTCCCCTCTGCAGCTCCAGGGGCTGAGGGGCCCAGCTGCTCCATGGGATCTTGGGGGAACTCCTGCCCTGCCCTTATCACTGCTGGGCTGGGTCCCACCCCCACCCATGTCGCTCCCACAGCGATGTTTTCCCTTTCTGGGAGGTGCTACCCCAGAGGTGGCAGCAGCTCCAGTGCTGCCCTTGGCCCTGGCACAGCTGCTTTGGAGCCAGCTGGACCCCAAACTCACAGTGGGAGCCCACAGGGAGGAGGGGCAGGACAGCACAGCTCAGGGAAGGGAGGGATGGATCACTGTGGATTGTAATGGAAAGGAGGGCTCATTATGGAAAGGAGTGTTAGGAAAATTGATC